ATAAATTAGTCTGAGTCTTATCTCTTAATTAGACATATAGTAATAGATAATGTATAATATAAAAAGTTGTACAAACTATAACAATATGTTCGAATAAACATACCTGAGGCATGACCTCACCTTAACTCCAAAAAAAAAAAAATAAATATAATATAAAATACAACAATAAATATATAACAACTACTAATAATATAATATATTATGCTATACTAAAAAATCTACTTTGTAATAATATTTTTTTTCTTTGGCAATTTTGGCAGCCTGGTTGGTCATATGCTTCTCTACACATTTTGATATCCAGTTTATCTGTCTATCCCTTTGGAGATGTTTTATGAGCTTTCATCAGTCCGACAGCACTGTCGAAAGTTTTGTACTATCTTCTTACTCAGAATTTCCAAGTAGGTTTCCAACTTTTCAGTTTTTTTGCTTTTCGCACCTGGTGGTCTTATCGTAGGCTTGCACCAAAGTCTTATGCAACATCAGTTATTAACATTCCTCTATGTAGGTATAACATTATACTTGACATAGATGTCCCGAGCTCTCATTCGAGATGGTGCAACAAAGATTACAGATACGTCAATCCAACTGATCGACAGAGACAGTTACCATAACACAGACCTATTTTCCAAAATTCATCGTTCATGGAATTTGAACTCTAGACCTGCTACTTGGAGATTGACAACCTGAATACTTCACTAGATCACCACACTCCTATAATGTATATTTTAGAGATATATATAAAATTTTAATATAAACAACTTTGCTAAAGATATCAAAGTTTTTGTTCATATAATAAAATTTTAAGATATTAGTAGTTTATATAAGTGAAATTTAGATTAAATTTTGTGTAAATGATTAATAAAAAGAGTTTTTTTACTATAATGAAATTTTTTTTTTTTTTAGTATTAAGATGAAGCCTTGCTCATATCTTTATTAATAGTTTTTAAAGTTAGTAACTTCATAAAGTTACTATGTACAAAAATAATTCTATATAAATGCTATGACCAAGGCCAACACTTGCAGTTAGGGCTAACCATTAAACTGCTAACTATATATAACTAACTTAAGTACAAAAAGAAGAAAACTACATTCAAGAGTAAAGCTCAGACATATTTATCTGTGACCTAAACCTACTAGAGTGGTCAAGACTCACCTAGATTTGGATAGTTAAAATATAGTTAAATGAAATATTGTATTTGATCCATAGAGTAGTTCATATATTGATTTTTCCAGTATTCTTTGGTTTTAGTTGTACAGAGAATTCTATAATTTTGGAGGTGGTACATATTCTTCATCTTCTTAGTAGTGACAATAATTAATTTCACTGACTCTTCAGATTTTTCCTTTTTTGGTTGATTTGATAAGGATCTCTTGTCACCTTTCCTCTTTTGTTATATTCTTCAACATATTTGGAAATAAAGTATTTGAATATTTTTGTCATATTATCAGTTAATGTTGGTGTGAACACTAAGTGTTTACATTATTCATAATCTCACCATTCAAGGTTTGATTGTTTCAATGGTTCATTATTCTTGATTTGGTTTATTTCATTATATTGTACTCAATATAGATATGTTAGTATTTGTATCAAGTTAGCTTGATTAATTTTATCTTCTTGGTAATCTTTGTTTGTTGTTGGTTTTGTTCCTGACTTATTGTGTGAATAATAAGTATGTTTTAGGATTAATTGTATCTTTTCTACTATCAATTTCAAATTGATTTCTTCTTGTGCTTCTCTGATTGTACATGTTCTAAAGTCTTTAAATTCTTTTTTTTTACTGCCACATGTTTGATATTGGTTTTGATATATTGTGGTGTTTATCCTTTGTGAGGTTAATATGTAATATGTCTCATTTCTTTTCATAAATAGTATTACTATGGTATATCCTTGTTCTAGATTTATTGGTATTTCGGGAGGCATTATGGATAATTCTGTTAATGCTGTTTCATCATATAATTGATTTTCATTTTCAATTCTTGATCTCTTGATGAATATTGTTCTAAGCATATCATTTAATTCTTTGTGATTGTTGTTGATTTCTATATAATTTGAATATATCATTTCAATCATTTCTTCATATTTGTCATATATATTGACTAGATATTCTTCTGATATTTGTTTGTCAGATTCTTGATTTCTTTCAGCAAATCATTTAAACATTTCTTTCATTGTTGGTTTGAAGAATAATATATAATCATATTGATTAATAAGATTTTCACTAAGATCTTTTCTCATTTTTCTTAGTATTTCCATTTGTTGTATATCTTGGATATTATTTATTTTGAATATTATTGTATCTGGTACTGCTCTATCAAAGAGTATTATTGTTTTTTCATTAATTTTTTCTTCTAATTCCAATATTTTCAATTGTAATAAATTCTTTTAGAATTTTTGTAATATGAATATTTGTAATGCAAATGTATTTTGCTTTGCTGAGTACATCAGTTTTAGTAATTCTGATGATTTTTCTGATATTGCTTTGAATTGGAATACTTGGATTCCTTGCTTCTCAAAGAAGTCTTTTATTTCTAATAATGCAGTTGTCTTTCCAACTGCTATTGCTCCTGTTGCTACTATTATTGTAGCTTTAATGCTTTTAAAACTTTCTTCTATTGTTTGTTGTAATTCTTAATATATTATTTTGTCAATAATACTATTTATACTCATTTCTTTTGCAATATCTTTAAATTGTTTAAAATCTTTCTTTTCTTTAAGCCATGTTTTTGCATTTTCATTATCTATTTTCTTTCATTCTTCTTCTTGTATCTTAACAGTTAAGTTAAATACTTTCTTTTGACTCATCTTGAGTATTTTCTGATAATGTTACTAGTAGGTTTTCTTCTCTTAATTGTATTCCTATTTGTTTTAGTTGTTTGGATTGTTTTCTTTTATTTTTGTTAATACTTCTGCTAATCCTCTTGTTAGACCATCAAAGGTTGATTCTTTCCTTATTATTAGGAATAATTCTTCTAATAGTTGTTTTAATTTGTCTTTCTGTTGTTCTTCAATATCTTCATATATTTTAGTAATAATTTCTTTTAAACGTTCCTTTTGCTCTGTTATTGAGCTGTTTAGATTTTCTAATATTGTTATTCTTTCTAATTCTATATTTGCTCTTATATAATCTATTCTTAATTCTGTTTGAGTTAAGAAATATTTGAATTGTCCTATTTTCTCAACTGCTGTTTGTAGTTCAGCTATTGCTTGTACTGTTCTAATTATTTCTTGAAATTCAGGTAGTATGTTCATCTATTTTAGATGTTACTTCTGATACCAATTTGCTTGGTTCTGTTTGTCTATCTATTTCTTGAACTACTTTTGTTAGTTCTTTAGATTCTCTTTCTAATACTGTATAGAAGAGGTTACAAACTAATTGTCTTAATGTTCCTGTTGGTAAATCTTTCAGGTATTCATTTAGCTTTTCTTTAAAGCTTTTTTCTGTGATTATTTGAGATTGATAATCTTTGATTGTTTGTTTAATTTCTAATAGTATATTCCAGTACACTACCATTAATTTCAGATTTCTTATCATATAATAATACTGTTGATTCTTTGTTTTGATTTTGTAAGTACAATCTTTTTCTTCTTTCTTACAATAGTGACACTGTTTGTCCGTAAGTGACTTTTGACACTTCTTTTTTCTAATATAACAATTATTACAGCCTTTTCTTAAAGATGTATGATCTTGTTTTTCTGCTAGTGTATAGGTTAATCCTTCTCCTGCACAGTTGATACACTTTTTATAGTATGGTATTCTTTCATACTTTCTTTTGAGTGTTATACAGGGTTGACAACTTTTCTTTTTCATTCAAAGTTTAAGATTTCTTCTATGAATCTTTCTTTTTGAACTTTCTTTACTCTGCACTTTTTACAAGTGTTTTTATAGTCTAAGAATTGTGGTCTTCTACACAATTTACACTTTTCAAATCTTCTTTCTTTAGATTTTCTTTTTTCTTTTTAAGATTTGTTTTCTCTATTTCTTTTCTTTCCTTTTTTCTTTGAAATAGTTTCACAGTTTTCGTTTTTTTGAATACAGTTTTTACAAGTTTGTTCTGGTTTTTCTCTTAGGCACTTTAGGTGTCTTCTTGCACAATTGTTACAACTTTTGTATTGCAATTGCATCCAAATCAAAGATTTGACTTTCTGCTTTCTTTATACACTTTTTATGTCTTTCAAGACAATGTTCACAGTTTTGAATTGTTTCTTGTTGAAATCTTACTGATTCTAGAAATTCCTGATTTCTTCTTTCAGTATCTTTTCTATTGATTGTTATCTTACAACTTTTACAGATTTTTTCTACTTGATTTACTCTTCTAAATTCGTTACAGATTATACAGTTACTGTATGTTGGTTCTGATTTCTTTCTTGGAAGTTTTTCTTTTTCTCTTGGATTTCTTTCTTTTAGTTCTACCTTGCAGAATCTTCTTGTTATTATACAGTTATCACAGGATCCTATTCCTTGACTTCTAATACAGCTTTTCTGTTCTATTAAACAGTGTTTACAAGTTCTGCTCATTCACTTCTTCTGGATTGTATATTTCTACTAGAGTTGGTGTAAGACTTATTAATTCGTAATAATATATTCTTCTACTCTTATATTCTGTTGGAATATAATCGTAATTGTTAATTAATTTATCTTCAATTATCTTTGACCAATCATGATATGTCTTTGCTTCTGAGACTTGTTTTGCTATTTGGTCTGTGGTATCTTGATATCCTATAGTCCACTTGAGTTTTATAGCTTCTGTATAATAGTTATATCAGTCTTCTTTAGTTATAGTATTAATTGATCTTCTTTGATTAATTAGGTTTCGAATATATATTATATTTCATTCTCTCCAGATATGTTCTTTAGCTACTAAGTGATTTCTATCAAATGTTATGCTTTCTTCAAAGGATTCTCTTTCCTTTAGTTTATCTAAAACTGTTTCTTTTAAGTTGTTAATTGATTCTTCAAATGTTTTCTTGGTAGAGTTCATTAATTTCTTCCAAAGAGTTCGTTAATTTCTTTTATTACTTTATAATCTACTTTTGATGCTTGATGAAAGAAGTATTTTACCAGTTCTATAATTTGTTCTTTCTTATTTTCAGAATTTTTTATCTCTGTTATAAGATATATTTCGTATTCTTTCTTTGGTTTATCTGTTTCAGATATTTTATCAATTAAGTCTTAGTATGACTGTTGTTGATTTTCTTTTCCTTCTTGTAGGATTGCTTCTAGACTAAATGCTAAGTCTGTATAATAATTTGCTTGCTTGCTATTTCTTTGTACTATTTCTGTAAACTTTAATTGTTTATCTGTTTCTTCTTTACTGAGTATTGATTGATTCATAAATTTCTTTTGCAGATTCTTTATATATTTCTATTTTCTTGAGTGCAATTTTCTTTGCCAATTCTAAGGTTTGCTCAAATCTTTCTTCAGAACTTTGTTGTATTTCTTTGATTGCTTTTATCAACTCTTGTGAAGTTGATTCTTCTTCAATCAATATTTGAATTAATTCTTGGTAGGATTGATGTTGTTCAGTCTCTTCAAGTTCTAGTATATATTCTAAACTTGTTATTATCTTTTCATAATAAGATATTTTGTTATAATTCTTTTGTAATATTTCAATTATTTTTTGCTGATAATCCATGTTGCTTTATGGTTATTTTTCCATTTTTTAAATAGACATTTTCTGCTATATGAAAATCTAATTTGATTTTTTCATTAATATCATTTTTCAATGATATCTATTCTAATTACTAATTTAATGTTTGTAAATATTTGTATGCTATTATTGTATCTTATCATTCTGTTAATTTTGTTTGCATTTTAATTCTCTGTTATTGTAATGCTAATGTTCTTTGTATGTCATGACCCAAATGACATTTGATAATCTCATTTACCTTTCACAGGTAATAATCTTGTGCATCTATCTCAGATGTCTTATCAATGTTATTCTTTGTGCGTCTACTCTGGATGTCTTATCAGTACGCCATCTTTGGATGTTTTGGTGCTATTATGCCCCATCTATCACATAGTGCTATCGCATACTATCCCTTTAAGGATTTATTAATCAAATAAATATTATTCATATGACATGTTCTGTCTTATCATGAATCACAGTCCAGTGTGATATAAATATTTGATTATTAATTTTGTCATGCGCCATTTTAGGCTACGGATTACTTATCCTTTTACACGCCTTAAATATTTTTGTTTACATTGATAAATAATAAATAATAATAATAGTAATTTAGCTATTTTAATATTAATGCTATTTGATAAACTATATATGGCTAAATTATATGTTTAAATAATAAATAATAATTAGGTAATAATATTGGTACTATTTTTGTAGTACAATTATCTTCTTCCGAATAGTTCATCTTCTATTCTTAGGAATGGTGGTGCAGAATTTGTTCTGCTAGGAATCTTCTTTTGGAATTCTTCTTGGGAGATTTCTTCTACTTCCATATCATTATTATTTTTGATTATAGTTGTTACTGTTATTCTTGGTGATTTTCTTGTTTGTGATCATCCTCTTTGCATTGCTTCTTCAAATACTTGTTGTTCTGTTAGAAGTCTAGATTCTTGTAATTCTTTTAATTCTTGTCAAGCTCTTTCGACAATTGAATATGCTTTTCTTTTGTATTCTACAAATGAATATAGATGTCGATCTTGACTAATAGTTTATTGATTGAGTCAACTGATTCATTGATTACTCCCACTATCTGTTGAAACATCTTTCTTAATTCTTCATATTTTATTAATCCTATGAGATGTTCTCGATCTGCATATTGTCGAAGTAGTTGGTTTTCTACTTCCAACTTGGAGAGTATTTCTTCCATTTGTTGAAATCATAAAGAATAGGTATAGAGTATTTCATTTATTATTTCTTGTTCAGTTGTTATTGGTTCATTAAAGAAGTAGGCTTTTGGAGGTGCTTCTTTAGCTTTTTCTTTTTCTTTAATATAACATTCTCAACATATTCCTCTTGCTAGGTCTTCTTCTGATCCTAAGGGGTTTTGATTACATTTGGTGCAATATTGTGTTGGATGATATACTTTGTTGTAGCAATCAATACAGTATAGGTAGATGGCTTTTTCTATCATGTTTGTTACATTTACATAACTACTTTCTTCTTTAATATTGATTGGTAAAAGACATTCTTTACAAAGAGTACATCCTACTTTGGAGGTTTTTTTACACCACTCATCATATGTTCCTGGTTTTCTTGTTTTTTCTTTATCCAGATTATTTAAGCTTTCAGTAACAGCTTGGTTATGAGCTATTTCTTCTTTGACATCATTTTCTTCATTATAGAGGATTGGTGTCTCTGGATAAGAGAATTCATCTCCTTCTCTTTTTTCTTTTAGAAGTTCTAGTTGTTGTAGATTAGGTTCTCCTTTTGCAATATAGTTATAGATTCTTTTTACCATTGATCTATTGACTGTTATATAATTTCCTGCTGACTGTCTGGTATTAAGCCAGTGTCCTTCCCTTCCTTCATAAGTATAGTTATGGCAAGGGTCTACTATATCAAGATATATTTGATAGGCATATTTTTCTTTCCAAGTACAAAAGAATATATTTCCATAATTTGCAAATTCTCTTTTTGTTCCTTTCTTTTTACAAAGGTAACATTCAATTAACTTTTCTTTGTGTTCTAACCATTCCATTACTTGTTTTTTCTGAGGTTCGTTTTGTTAGAAGTATCTTACATACTCATATGCACATTCTTCACATTCCAATCGAATCCTGTTATTTCTTCTTTGTATTCCTATTAAATTATTTCTTGTAAATGGTAATTTACAGTTGCAACAATGATTCTTCTTTGATTTTGATGTTGAAGAGTTTGGGTTGATTAAATAGTTCATTCTTGTTGCCATTACTTCTTTTGGATTACATCCACAACCATTATATTCATTTGCTTTGTCCAATGATAATTCTTTGTATTGATATCATTTATGTTCTCTTTTAAGACAATATTCATATTGATACTCTTTGTTTTCACTTAAATTAACATACCAGCTTCTATTCTTTAATAATGGAGCATATGGGCAGTTCTGGTATGTATGTTCTGTCTTTCTGCATTTATTACATATTGCGTTTGGACAGTCCCAGTATTCATGTTGTCCAAGTGTTCCAGAGCATATTTTACATTGTACACTTCCTGTTCTTTCTGGAGTAGTTGTTCTAGATTTATGTGTAATTCCGTTTGGTACCTGTAGGAGTCTAGTTGAAGAGTCATTTGTGTAACTATGTTCTAGTACTGGTGTTGCTCTAATATCCATAGTTCTTTCATTATTATCTGGAGTTCTTTGAGATACACTTTTTTCATCTTATCCAGATAATTCAATATTAGGTTGACGTGGTTGTTCTGTTTCTGTAAGATCAATAGCTTCACTAATTAATCCACCAAATTTTGATTGAGATCGAAACTCATTTGAAGTTTCTCTAAGACCTCTGCTATCCTTTCTTGAGGATCGTTATACTTTCTTAGATAAGCCAAATTTGTTAGTGTTTTGACTAAGTCATAGTAAGTTTTTGGTTTGTGGCTGAACCTTATGCCAAGTTTTTGTTTGATATTTTTGATATCTTGAGTTAATTGTAGTTGGGTATTGGATTCTTCTACCAGTTGTACCCAAGTTACTACCATTTCTTCTTTTGAAATTGTTTTGGTTGTCTGGAGTAATTTCCATACTTGAGTAGTCATTGGATGTATTCATTGGTTTCTTTGGTTAGTTCTTGGATGTTAGATAAGATTATTTTGGAGTCTTTTTATAATTTAGGATTTATTTAGATTTTCTAATTGTTTAGTTTCATCATTTTCCTCTAAAGGTTTATCTTCTGCTTCTATTAATAGATAACTTTTTAGACATTGTAGGAAACCTTTCCACAAGTTGTTTATGTTTTGTTGTCACCATATATATTCTGATAGATATGGTTGGAGCTTATCTTTAGCCCTATTTCTGCTTGGTGTTAATATTTTTATGCCAAGCCAATTTCCTTCAATAGTATTTGTATGTACACCTGTTTCAGGATCTTTAAAGTATTTTGAATAATTCATGGTTTCATGTTGGTATCCATACTTCACAGATAAGTTTTTGTAACCTTTCTATAGATCTGTGTATATTATTGATCCTTCATGTACATTTGCTTTAATGATATCAGTCAATATTTTCTCATCACACTTATCTATTATTACTACAAATATTTTGCATTCTGGAGTGCGTTCTATGCCTCCAATGACCCATTGACCATCTACAGGTTTTCCGCGGTAATACTTTACACATCCAAATAATGATTTATCTATTTCTACAATGATATCTTTTCCTCCTATCTTATTATGTGTGTCATTTATTTGTGACTCGACTAGTTGTCTAATATTGTTTATATTATTTGCTATTGTTTGTGTCAAATGTTCAGTCTCAGTCATTATATGAATGGGTGTTGCTGGCACTTTGATTAGCCATAAATAGTATATTCTAAATACTTCATTGATGGAAATCTTGTGGTTTTCAAAGAATGAGAATGTGAGTACAGATTGTGATTTTCTACAATCGTGTCATGTACAATTCTATTTCTTATCTTTTTGTTTCATTTCATTTCTATATTGACAACATTTTTGACTTTTATAGAGAATTCCTTCTTGTGTAGGAATTTGATACATTCCATCTCATCTTCTAAGATATTCTTTATTTGTTTTTCTGATAGAATCTTTGCTTTGATAGGTAGTTCATTAATAATTTTCTTAACATTGTCTTCCATTTGTTTAGATGATTTTAAATTCTACAAATAAATTTGTATTTCAAATATCGTCGTATATAAAATATCTATCTTGAGGTGGTTTACAACTTTCTTCTTGTATCATCCAATATTTTCTATCTAGTATTACAAGTGTTGTATATGTTATTATCAAGTTTCACATTATTTTTCTACTTAAGGAGTAACTTTTTCACTTTGTTTTCTTTCAAATTCTTCATGAGTTTTATCTATATAATTGGTTTTCTTATAACTCTTTTTATACTTTTTTCAACAATCATTTTATTGTTCCAATTTATTAATTTCTGTATTATTCTTATTTCATTATATTTTCTGATTTGTCTACTTTTAGAAGTTTTCTATTATGGATTTCATTGCTTACTCATCATGTGTTCTTCTTGAACTTAGAGTTGTTTTTCTTGATAGTTTCATCTGTCTTCTTTGGAAAAGTTCTATCTTTCTTGACTTTAATTCTTTTTACAATTGCTTTTGTAAGCAATCTACTTTTTCAGCTAATTATGTTAAGCCTTATCCTTCAAAGCTTTTTTCTAAAAGTTATGACAGAGTGTTTAATATTTTGGATAATTCCATTATTGGTTATTCCAAGAATTATTTTCTTTTTCTTGAAAAGAATATAACTTCTCTTGAAGATTTTATCTTCTTTCTTTTTGAGAAGTGTCCTTATCCTGAAAAGTTTTCTTCAATTTTTCATTATTATTTTTTGACTCATAATCAACATTTTTGGCATTATGATTTCTTTGGTTCTAATTTCCATAATAATAAGTATACTATGTATTATACTTCTCTTCAACTTCTATGTGAGAATCTTTCATCAATTTTTGTTGATTTGTCTCTTAAAGATGATAAGGTATTTTCTTGCTATTGGGTTTTCATGCACTGCTGGACCGGAGTAGTTAGGTTTAACTACCTTTGGCCTGCAGTGCATGGCGATCGAATATTCTATTCTAATTCTTATTTTTTCATTACAGATCCTTCTACTGTTAAGGTTTATTCTTCTAGAATTTCTTAGCCCATTTTATCTGGAATTAATTGTTATGATGCTCTTGATCTTTTTCAAGATTTTTTTGAAAATTCTGATCAAGGATATGATTCTGGTCAAGAAATCTATTCTGACCAAGGGTGTATTTATATTGATTATTATTCTCATAATTCTAATGAGAGTATTGATAATGATGATTATTATAACTATTCAGATTAATTATTTTTTAATAAAGGATTGTTTTTTCTTTTTGAGTTGTTTTAACTCTTCCAATTGTTGTAACTCATCTGTTGTTCCTCTAGTTAGGAAATCTGCTGCAATGTTTTGTGCCCCTTCTATTCTATGTATATGAAGGTTGACTGTCTGTCTAGGTTCTGCATCATAGTTATCTAATGTTTTGTTAACATATCGTCCAGTTTTATTTGCTATAACTTCTGTTGCATCTGATTACACATGTAACTCTTGTGTTCCTATGTAATGTTCCCATTGTTTTACAAAGTAATATATTGCATACATTTCTTTTAATGTTGTTGGCCAATTTTTCTGTATTGCAGATAGGCCATGTGACTCAATTTCTATAATGGTCTTATTATACCTTGGTGGTTTAAAGAAATTATTAAGTTCTCTTCATAATAAATCTTTCTTTTTTAGAGATTCTTTAACTTTTCAATGATCTCGTGATTCATCTCCTTGTTGATATAGTATTGCACCTATTGCATGATCTGAAGTATCTGTTTCCATAAAAAATGGTTTGTTCAGATTTGGGAATGATAGTAATAATTTATTTTTAACTCTCTATTTGAGTTCTTCTATTGCTTTTTAACAGTCACTAGTCTAATTAAATTTAGCTGTTCTTACTAATCCATATAGTAGTGTTGCCACTTTTGCAAAGTTTAAAATAAAGGATCTAAAATAATTCATAAATCCCAAAAATCTTTGTAATTCTGTTTTATTTTTAGAAGTAGTAAATTTATCTACTTCTTTAATTTTCAAAACATTTTTCCCAATTTTTCTATATGATATTTTACAATTTAATATAATTGTTTCTTGAACAAGAAATTCACATTTTGATGGTTTGATTTTCAGGCCCGCTTTTTTTAAGCATCTTAATGTCTCTGTTAATTTTACTTGAGCCTCAGATTTATCGTTCAATAAAATTACAAAGTCATCCATGTAGATTACTACATAGTCTAAGTGTCCTAATATTTTGTTCATTGCACTTATTAAGTATGCTGGTGCTGTGCTTATTCTAAATGATAATGTATGCCAACAGTATGTTTCATATTCTGTGAAGGTTGTCACTTAATATTTCTTTGAGTTTTCATGCATTACTAATTGCCAATATGCTGACTTTATGTCTATAGTAATATAGTATTTATATCTACTAACAGTTTGCAACATCTGTTTGGAGTCTGGTAATGGTTCTCTATATTGTTCCAAGTATTTGTTTAGATTTCTATAATCTATTGCTATTTTCTTTGTTCCATCTTTCTTGGTTATTACCAGTGCAGAACTTCTCCATTCAGTATTTTCACTAAATATAATATTGTTTTTCATTAGGTTGTCTCACATTTCTTTTATAACCTTCTTATCTTCTTTACTATATTTTCTCAATGCTTGTCTTTTTTCTCACATTGGTATTTTACTTTCTTTCATTCCATTTTTTAAGTTTAATTCTATTGGAGATATTTCATCAATATTTACTCTAGTTGCATACTCTTGTTTTTCTCTAAAAACATCAACATATTCTGTAAGAATATGACCAATTTGTTCTCATGTTTCAGGGCCTCCAGTTTTTTCACATTGATTCTTTAGATTCAAGATGTGTTCTTTTTCTTTTTCACTCTGATCTTTCAGATCAGGTAATTTTGTAAGAAAATTTTCATCATTTTTCTGTATTTTTTCAACATTTCCAATATGTTGTCCCTTGTTAAATTTCACATTTCTACTTGATATATTCATTATCGTTATGTGACTATCATTTGCTATTCCAGGTTGGATGCTTATTCCTTTTTTAGCAAGTTTTACAGGGGTGCCTATATACCCATTTTCTACAGGGTTTTCTATCCTGATATGTCCTATATTCATAGAGGGTATCTCTGTATTCTCATTACAGAATACCTTATAATCTACTTGTTTTCCTTCTATTATAGTTGGTAAGATTATATGTTATATTTCTATTGGCATTTCCCAGAAATGTCTATACAGACTAACATTTTCTTCATCTGTTTCTACTATTCCATACCCTTTATTTGTTTCTTTTTTTTCACTTTCATATTCATGTTGAATACTTTCATAGTTTTGCCATGCCACTTCTGGTGAAGTGTATGCATATGCTTTTTGCTATTGTTTATCTGTTAAATCACTATTTCTTGCTACAGGGTATTGTGCTGTTTGTTCATCTCATGGTATTTCAAGTATTCTAGTATTCTTATCCTCATATCTTATTGGTTTTAAGGGTTCACCTGTTTCTTCTTGATTATTATACCTATTTTCATAATAATTATTTACATCATCTTCTATGATGTTATCTAGTTCATTCATTTCTTTTTTATCTTCAGATGTTATTTTTTCTTTTCTACTTTCTTGAAAGAGTTTTCTTCTAATATCTCTTTCTTTTTTCCATTTATCTCCATTTGTGGATAATAAATTCATATCAGTTGATACAACTGTTCTTGTTCTTTTATATCTTACAGGTGGTTTTTAAAGTTTTTTAAATTCTTTATTATCATCATCTTCTAGATTTATTTCATTTTTTAAGCTAGAAGGTATCTTTGATAGACTTGATGTACTACTATTTTTTTCATGTGTTTTCCTAAATATTGGATCTACAATATTTTTATTCACAAAGTCTTTTATTGGAGAACTTGGTCATGGTGGTTCTTTTGCTTGGCTTTTTAGCCATTCTCCTATATTTCTACTTTTGAGATTAAAATCTTTTTCACTAGATGTTGGAGATACAGGTCTTTCTCTATAGGTATTCTCTTTTGGTATATACCTATTATGAGTAGCATCTTCTGGTGGGAATGGTTTAGGTTGTGGTTTTCCTCTTATTAGTTTTTGATCTTCTACAAACCTTTTTTCTACTTTATCATCATCATGCATTTTTCCTTGATTTTCTAATGATGATGCTAATAGTTCTTTATATTTGTCCTGAAATTGTTTTCTTACTTTTTCACTTGAGAATTTTGATTCTATTAAGAAGTTTCTTATTGCTATTTGTTGTTCCTATTGTGGCATTTGATTGAACTCTTCTTTTGTCATATTTAATAATGTATATTTATTAAATTGATATTCTTCTTCTATTTGTTCAATCATATCCTTATTTCTCTACACTTGTTGATCTCCTGACTCTGTTAATGCTTGTATTACATTATATAAGGCTTTCTTTCTATTTTCTTCTTTGTCATTAATATTTATTTTTACAGTTTTTTCTACTATTTCTAGATGACTTTCTAACTCTTCATCTAATAAATTTGATACATATTTGTAATTATCTTCAATAGTTTGAAGTCTATATCTCAACTGCTTTAAACCTTTTTCAATTTCTTTACTATTATTTTTCTTTTCTTCTTATAATATTCTTTCCAATTGTGTAAGATTTTCTTTCACAAATTTTCCCATTCTAGGAGTGTCTGGTATAGTTTCTTGAATTGCTTTCTGTTTCCCTTTCTTGTTTTTGGAAACTATTTCATTGGTTTCTTTAAACCTTTTGATTTCTTCTTACACATCTACAATTAATTGTTTATTCAATTTTTGTTGTGCTTTATTAATTGGTTTTTCATGTTAAGCATGTATTGTTATGCATCCCATCTGATCAGCTAAATCTATTATAGCTGGTTCTTCAAATTGCATTCCATAAGGAATATTAGCAATTCTCTCATAATTTTCTTTATTTTGTTTTAATTCTTGATCTTTTTTTTTAAACCATTCTTCCTGTATTGTTTCTTTATTCAATACATCATTAGCAAATTCTCTTAATTTTGCTACTTCATGAATTTGTGCAATTTGTTGTGTTATTTCATTATTGGGAGTTTCCAATATCATGGCATAGACCTCTTTATGCCCTGCTATCATCTGATAGACTTCTATAGGTATTTTTGCTGCTGGATCCATTATATGTGCATGTTTGTCCATTCCTTTACCGAATATTACTTCTGGTGGACTATTGTTCATATGTGTTACTATTATTTCATGACCATACATATTGTATATATTTTGATATTTATCGATCCTTTTGCCTCCACCCATTGCATAGTAATGTTGGGTGTTGAAGCATATTCCAATCCTTTTCTTGGATTTCTCTTTGTTTTTAAACCTTAACTGTTGATCTATACTATTTACTATATCTATGAGGTCTGGTATTGTTGCACTATAGCAATTATTGCTTGCTGAGTTTTCTAATAATATATCTATTTCAAATTGTTGTTAAACTAGTTCTTTTAATAATTCATTGATATTATCGATCATGTCTGACCGATTCTTATCTGCAGCTGTTCCAATATGTATTACAGCCTATTTTATTCCTATTTTATCAGTATGATATATTACTTCTAATATTCTATTTATTTTCCAATGCCTTTTTCCATTATTTTATAATGGATCATTAAGGTATAATCTCATTGATGTATGTAATATTATTTTTAGCCCAATTTTTCTATTTCTTTGTATAATATTATCATCTTCTTGTATATTTGGTTCACCATTTTGTACCATCATGTATTTTTTCATCTGTTCATTTTTGTATATACCTTTAGGTTCTTTATATTCTAAGAATACTTGTAATAAGTTGGAGTCTGTTGCTAGAGCTGTTCTGACTATATCTGCCCAATTTCTATTGCATGTTACACCTATTAATTTTGTTCTCTGTTTATTTTTTTCAACTTGCTTTTTAAGAAGTATTTTTTGTTCTTTTAAAGAATATGGTATTAATTCTTTAAATATTTTGATATTTTTGGATTTCTGATATTCAATATCAGTTTATTTCATTTTTCCTTCTGCATTTTTCAGTTGTTTGTCATTTTGCTTAGCCTTATTAAGTTGGTTTGCCATTTTGATTGATGAATTATTAGGCATCAAGCGAAGCGCAGGTGACCTTTGTTCATTAGTTGGTGTGCCATCAGTTGCTTTTGCTTGATTAGTTTGTGTATGGGTTATTGTTTTACCAAACATGTTGGGCACCATCGAGATGTTTTTTCTCACTTTTAAGGAGGTGTCTTATTTGGAGAGGTATTTTGATAAATATAAGGAGGGTTGGTTTCTCAAGATTAAGTGAGCAGGTCCATCATGAGCTAGGTTGTTATACCTATAACCTGTGTCTGATCCCATTTCTTGGTAGCTAATAGGCTTGTTATTGATTAAAGCTATCTTATTTTGTCTATCTTTAGTGATATGTAATCTTGCTTGATCTACTTCAGATAAGAGAAGGTAAGGTTGTTCTCCTTTGATGATAGTTACTTTAATTTGTGCTTGAATATCTTTTATCTGGATTGTTACTTTTACTTCTCCTAGGTTTGAGATTGTTTTTTCTTCTGGTAATACTGCTTTTGTTCTATTATCTTTATCTAGATATTGTAATAATTTCTATTTTATTGCAATGTCTTGGCCTATTACGTTTTTACTTGCTCCTTCATCGAGCAATACTTTTATTGGCCAGTTGTTCATTAGTGCTATAAAGTAATATGCTTGTTTTCTTTTTGGTCTTTTACTTAAGTCTAACCAGTAAACTTTTTGAGAGAATCGATATGTTTTCTTTAAGTATTCGTATTCTTTGTCAATGTTTGCTTTCTCAATCATTTTTTCAGATAATACATTCTTGGCAGAGCATTTGATATATGGGTTATTAATATTATGATTTTTATTTAATATTTTCTGGTTAATACATATGATATTATTGATATGTTCTTTAGAAGACTTTTGGTCTTTTTTGATATTATGAATATTAATATGCTCTATAGCGCAGCCATTATCCTGGTTAGGGAGTTGGTCCTGAGCACTATGCAGGTTCCTATTTAAAAAAGATATGTTTTGGAAGAAGATGTTTTTGAGAAAGATGCTATAGGTTCTTCTTCATCTTCTTCTTTATAATGATTGTATCATTTTGGATTTTCTTTTCTTTTGAAATCTCTTTTATCATTTCTTGGTTCCCTTTTGTCAGTTCTTTCAGGTTTTTTATAACTCTTTTTTTTTTCTTCAGATTGATAATTATGATATCTTCTGGATGGTTTTTGACCTTTGTTATATCGATTTCAATTATTGTTGTTTCAATAATTATTTCAATTATTACTTCTGTTGTTATTTCTATTATTTCTGTTGTTATATCTTCCAATTTGCATTTGGTTACTTCTTGATCCATTGTAATATTTTCCATTATTTCTTGAACATGTTTTTTCATGTCTTGGTGGAAACTTTTTGCAGTATTGACATGGTTATTTGAATGTCTTAAGAAAGTTTTTTGTCATTCTTCTGGAATCAATTTTGTTGAAGGATTCTTTTCTTTCATTAGTACAATCTTTTGCAAAATGACCATATTGTTGACATTTAAAGCATCTACTTTAGATTAGTCCATTGGTTTTATTTCATTATTGTTGAAGTTATGGATCTTAATTTTTGATCCTGTCTTGATTTCTCCTTTTGAAATCATTTCATTCCTTTTTACATGAAATATAGTATTCACTTCTTCAAAAAATGCTTGTTTGTTTAATGGTCTCTTTGCCATTATTTGGTAGTTGTAGGTGATTAATACTATATCTAATAGTCTTGCATATTCTCCTTGGTTCCATCCTGCATATGCAAAGTTTAATAATGCCATTGTTTCTTCATATCTATTTCTGAAGTTGTCTACATCATTTTCTGTACCATAATCTGGTTTGTATATAAGATTTTGGAAATCTTTCTGTCTTCCTAATTGGATTTCATCTGTTAGATATGCATTATCTAATAATTCTCTTAATAATATTTGAGATGTTTGGTATGTGCATTGGCTTCTGCCTACATTTCCTGTATCATGCCAGTTATCAACAGTGTAGTTTACTCCTACTGTTATTGGATAATTGGTTAAATCTTTTAGATTATTTAATTCATTTTGATTTGCTATTACTCTAAAGTAACAATTTATATTTGGGTTTGTTGTTAATAGTCTTCTAACTGCTTCATATAATTTTGTATATATTACTGATTTTATTCTTTTAAAGAATTCTATGTTCCAATATGCTTTTGGTAAATTTGCTTCTGAGTCATAATCAGGTTGTTGCATGGTATATTCTAAGTCTGGATTTCCACTAAATCTTCCAAATACAGTTAGTGTATTATCTATGCCCATTTTAGTAAATTTTATTTCTAATTCATTTCTCTATTGAATGTATTCTGCTGTTTCTCCATTGAAGTTTCTGATTTCATATAATGATTTTAGGTTTGGAAATCTTACTTTTGGTTGTGCTGCCATTTTAGTATATTCGTGGTTTTATTATTTTAGCATTTCTTAGATAATCTTGTATTCTTGTTTCAGCAATTTCTGATTGCTGTACTGCTAGATTATATGTTGAATAATCTTGTAGTTCATGAATATAAATTATTAGGCAAGCTAATTCTTCTTCAGATATTGTTCTTATAAATCTATGCCTTCTTGGTACTTTTACTTTTATTGTATGTAGTGTCAGAGTAGTATCTGGTGCTATTGTTATAGATACTCTGGTTAATTTTTCTTCTTCGATTATTTCTGTAACTTCTTGTCCTACTTCTTGTAGTTTAGTTAACAGTTTTTCTTTTGCTTTCTTGAGTTCTTCTTTTTCTAGAGAAGATAATTCTTTTGATCCATATTTATAATAGTATGCTAGGAAGGTTGAATAATATATTTGGCTTCTTTTGGTACAAGTAAACATTAGAGTTTGTTTTTGTTAATTTCTTTTTCTCAGATTTTTGATCCTATTTTTACAATGAGTTCGTTTGGTTCTTGTAGTTCTATTGCTAACTTTTGTAGCTTGATAAGGTTTTCTGTTTGGATTATATTTGTTTTAAGTTGTTTTTTCCAGGTTTCTAGTAAGAATTTCTTTACTGGATAATCTTTTGGTATTCTAACTTTTGGTTCTTTGACTTCTTGGTTTACTTCTTTAATAATATATTTAGGTTCTTCTTTTGGTTGTAATAATTTAAGTACTAATCTTTGTATGGTCTTTTAGTTATGTACTTGTTCATTAAAGAGTAGTTATTGTTGCTTGTACTTGATTTGTGATATCTTCATTTCTTCTTAAGATGTTATGTTTTAATAGTTGATTTCTTTTGTTCTTTATACAGGTAATAATTATGAGTGATGTTATTCCTAATACTATAATTAATGTTACTATTACTGCTACTATATCTATAATGTTTTGGTCTTGAAAGAATGCTGGATTCTCAGTTGTGAATAGTGATGTTGTTGCAGTTGTGGTTTGAATAGTTGTTGTTGTTACTATTAATATTGGTGTTAGTATAGTTATTTGTATAACAGTATTTGCCATTAATATGTTGTTCCAAATTGTTTATTAATTAGTCCTATATTTGGTATTGCTGTTCTTGTTGCTTGGTTCAAGGTTAATTGTTGTCCTAATGTTCTTTTCTTCTGTTTCCTTTTGTTGATAAGTATTATGACTATGAATACTTTCAGTCCTATTATAAGTAAAATTAAAGTTATTATTTCTTCCAGAAAGGATGTTACTTCAAGTTTCATTTATTTCTTCCTTCTAAGTAAGTTTATCTTAGGTGCCACTTGTGGTGGTCTTAAGATGTTTGGTATAGTTGGTAAAGATCTTGTAGGTTTGTTGTTTCTTATATCTAAGATTCTGTTTATCTTTCTTGTTATTCCTAATTGAGTTTGGGTTGGTCTTAGGTTTGGTGTTGACCTTGTTTGTCTTGGTAATAGGTTATATAATAAAGGATTATTTTTGTTAGACATGTATTAACAACAGCAGCAATTGCTATTTGCTTCAAGGTACTAGTTTGCTCCAGGAATTGCCTTAAGGACTCTCTTTTTATATCTTTGTTGTCTATAACAGCAAATGAATATTATTAATAGTATTGTTATTGTTTCAATGATTAGGTAATAGATAAGAGTTGTTGCAAATGGATTGTTATCTATTGTTGTACAATTATTTGTAATATTTGTTGACATCAGATTGCTTGGTCAGCAATCTTATCTCTTGTCTTGATAAGAAGTAAATATTTGGTTATGTAAGAAGTTCCTTTAATTATTCCAAATTTGGTTTAATATGGTGGTAATTGAATTTGATTATTCAATTTGTTTACTTGATTTCTTGCTTTACTAAGCTTTCTTTTGTATACACAGATTGTTGTAGTTATTGTTGCTATTGATCCTATTATTGTTACAAATAATCTAATACTTCGTTTATAGCATTCTGGTTATTGAAGAAGTTTGGTGCTTGAGTCACTGTTTGTACAGATTGTATTGTAGTTGGAGATATTATGATTGATGGTGATGGTATTGGTACAGTTATATCAATAGTTTTTCCTCTTGATATTAGTATGGTAAGTACTGCTAATGTCAAAATTATTTGGTAGAATTGCATTAAATTGTCAAAGTACTAATCACAGGATTCAATATAGATTTCTTCTTAGATGATCAGTCCAAGAGTGTAATCGAGTTGAAGTTTTGTTTTCGCTTTCCAGCTGCCTTTTCAGCTTCTCTCTTGGTAGTCGAATCTAGTAGCATTATTACAGATAATCTTTAGTATATCAGAATCTTGTTATGTCTGATAAGAGTTTCTTAGGCTCTCTTTGTCAATTATGTTCTTCTTGTAGTCATGAATAGTTTTAGTATAGATGTTGAATAGTTTTATAGTTGGGCACTACTCCAACACTCTTCGTATTATATGTCAAAGATGAATAAGGTCCTTGTAGTATTTGTATTTACTATCTCAGTAATACTTTCTTTATACTTTCTCAGTATATCTTTATAGTAATTTCTTTATTTTACAAGAGTATTTAGATACTTGTTCGTTCAAGTCTTAGACTACTTTTTCATTTATTTAAAAGATACTTTTTTGTCTTAGAGTTTATTAAAGTCTTATAGATTTATTCTTACTAACACTTGTTTTTATAGAAACTTTTTATAGAGTCTGCACAGAATAAAAGTTTATGTTCAAAGACTTTTCTTTAAATAAAATATATGTTTATTAAATATAAATGTGTTAAACTAGATGCTAGTAGTTAATATTTTCTTGCCCTTTAGTTGTTGTAAGTAAATAAATAGGTTTGTTGTGGGTTCATCTTCCCATGTCGTATGTTTCTGTCGATAAGCTTTTGGCTATCAGTTTACTTTCCTTTGATCTATGGTTGTTAGAAAGTTTTATATATTGGATGCCTTTCTTGTAATGTTCTTTTTTAACAAGTTTGGGCTTGACAAATTTTTGTGTTGGACGCCTTAAAGTTGCCTTAGGTAAGTTGGCTTTTTGTTGAGTGCTATCTATTATTTTTCTTTAATAATTATGTTGAGTGCTTTGAGCTTCTTTGTATGTTCCTGTTGTTTAAGTAGTTTACACGTTGGACACCTTTGACTTTTCTTTTCTAGGCTTCTGTCTTTGAAATTCTGTATTGAGCTCTTGAGTATATGCTACATGTTGGGTGCCTTTAGCTATCTAAGCTATTAAGTTATTGTATGTTGGGTGCCTTTAAAGTATGTTGGGCTATCTGGAATTTTTAAACTCTATTTTTGCTGTAGGTAAAAATTCTATAGTAGAGAAAGGTTAAAGTTTTGACTATTGATTCAAGAATTATTGTGTTCGATACAAAATTATTTTGTAGCAATAATTCTAACAATGAGAATTCTATTCTAATTATCAAAATTATTTTTTGATTGCAAAAATTCTAAAGTAGAGAAAGGTAAAAACTACTGCTATTTATACATTCGTGAAGGCTATGACTATTAAATAAACTATGACTAATAATTTCATTATCGTAATAGTTAACATAAACAGATTGTTCATCGTTCATTATCATTTTCAGATTTGGTAATCTGATTCTGATATAATTGTGACTTAATGTTTATTTGTCATACATGTGATGTGACTGGCATATTTCCGAGATAACCAGACATGCTGAGGTGTGACCAGCCCAATTTTTCTAATAGCATGACCTAGGAGTGGGCATGTATTAAAGTTTGAGTGTACTTGGTCAGATAGTCTATATATATATGAGTATGTATATGTTTGGCAATTGTATTTAGTTTGTCTGTTATGGTTAGTTTGAGTTAGGTATTTAGAAAAGGGAGGTTTAAAGCCTTGTTGTTTTTTCCAGTTTGCAAAATTTATGCAATATGGTTTCCAGAGTAGTTCGTAGCATAGC